TAAGACAAGTATATTTTCCCAAGAAATCAGTATTGCTACTCCTTATCTTTTTGGGTTGTTTGCTCAATATATGTTCTTATATCCATTTTTTTAAATCTTATTTTTGCTTCTGTATCTAAGATGTATCACTTATAGATAGTATATTGATGGATCATATTTTCTTGTCCATTCTGCGTATGACATTTGCATTTAATCTATTTATATTCTGTGTAATTATCAATAAGTAAGGCGCTCTGGTAGCGTAGAGGTTACGAATCAGGCTGCTAACCCGAAGGTCAGCAGTTCGAAACTATCAACTGTTCCATGGGAGAAGGATGAGGCTTTTTGCTCCTGTAAAGATTTACAGCCTCGGAAACCCTGTGCAGGGTCACTATGAGTCAGAACCGACTCCATGGTACTTAACAACAACAACAACAACATGAATTTAGTGCAGTGATTTTAACCTGGCATTTATGTGTGTGTGTTGGTGGTTTCTTTGCTTAGTATATTTTTCTGTGCTTAGTTCATTATATGCATAAATTTTCTTCTTATTTTCATTGTTGTTGTTTTATTATTTACTGAGATTTTGTGACAGTTTTCCTTTTTTATTTTTATGAGCAGTTCTATTAATTTTAAGTTACTTTGTAACTTATTTATTTTATTCCTAAATTTAAAAGTCTGTACCATCTTGATATCGTCTTAACTTCCTTTCCGTGTCAAAGTTTTGTCATTACATCAGTCTGTACCATCTTGATATCATCTTAACTTCCTTTCCATTTCAAAGTTTTGTCACTACATCATTTATTGCCTCTTTGTAGTTGGTGACTGGCTGGCAAAATGACATCTCTGGTTCCCCATTTTCAGTGTTGTGGATTTCTTTTTCTTTTGGATGCTTTTACATGTGCATTGATTTCCATGTGTTGTTTGAGTGTCTTAATCCCTGGAGTTGTCTACCAGTGTTGGTTCTCTCTGTGAAGAACCATCGTGTAAGGTTGCTCTGATTTTTGTAAATTCCTTTAATTTCTGTTTATTTAGAAGCATCCTAATTCTGCCATTGTAATTTAGGGACAATTTTAATGGATGTATAATATTTGGTTGACAACCTTTTACTTTTAGGGTTTTATATATGTCATCCCAACCTCTTCTTTTCTGCATGGCTTCTAGTAAGAAACAAGAGCTCAATTTTTTTTGTTCTTTGGAGGTAAATTTTTTTTGTCTTTTTTCTGAGCTGTTTTCAGGATTCTTTCTTTGTCTTTGGTTTAGAAAGTTTGATTATGATATTTCTTGGTGATTTCTTTCAGGATCTATTTATTTGCGGCTCATAGAGCTTCTTGAATGCTTATCTTCTTGTCTTTCATATTAGGGAAGCTTTCTTCCAACAAATATTTGACAATTTACCAGGTATTGTTTTATTTCCTCTTGCTGTTCTACTTGATGGTGTTCCATGTAATTCTTAGGCTTTTTAAACTTTTTTTTTTCTAATTGTTCATCTAACAGATTAATATTAAGAGATTTAGCTTCAGTTTTATTATTTCTATATTCTGTTTATTAAATTCTATTACTTTTCCCTATTCCTTACTTCTGTTTCAGACTGGGTTCTTTAGAGGGACAAAATCAGTGAAGCATGTATCTCTATGTGTAGTTCTTAAATTAAATGCTGATGAGTTGGTTCTGACTCATAGCAACTCTGTGTAGGATTTCCAAGGAGTGACAGGGGGTTTGAACTGCCAACCCTGAGATTAGCAGTCTAATGGGATTTATATCAAGAAAATGGCTCACACAGCTGTAGAGACAGACAATTTCCAAGACTGTGGGTCAGATGTCAGTCAGGCCAAAAGATTCTTTTGACTCAAGTAGCTGATGAAGCTAAGATTTGAAGGTCAAACAGCTGGCTTATGACAGCAAAGACAAATGAATCCAAGTTTGGCAAATAAGATGGCAGGCTGCTAACAACTTCTAGGCTTGGTAGACAATACTTAGTAGGTTCAAAGAACTGAAGGTCAAATGATGTGCCAAATTAAGGCATGGAAGTTCTACCCAAGTGTTTAATATATTGGAAACGGGCCACATCCTCAAAGAAACTTCCTTTCAATTTAAATGATTGCGTTTTATTAAATCTCATTATGGGAGAGTCCTGGTGTGGCACTGTGGGCTAATGTATCAGACTGCAAAGTCGTTTGAACTGCAAAGTCAGTGGTTCAAGCTCACCAGCTGCTCCTTGGAAACCTTATACAGGGTCAGAATCAACTCAAAGGCACTTAACCACAGCAATGGTGGATTAAACCAAAAACCAAACCACTGTTATCAAGTTGATTCCAACTCATAATGTCTCTGTATAGGGCTTCTGAGGTTGTAAATCTTTATGGAAGCAGAAAGCCTCCTCTTTCTCATGCAGAGCAATGTGGGTGGGTCTGCACTGCTTACCTTATGACTCACAGCCCAGTGTTTACCCTACAGGGGATTGTTGTTGTTGTTAAGTGGCATTGAGTGGATTCAGACTCCTAGTGACCATGTGTAAGGTTTCCAAGGAGCAGCCAGTGGGTTTGAACTGCCAATCTCGTGGTTTGCAGTCAGTGCTGATCATATGGACCCACACCACTGAATTGCCAAACCAGTGAGAATCCTGGTCCAGTTAAGTTGACACAAAACTTTAACAATCACACTTTCCAAAGAGTCCTGTGTCTTTGACATTTTTATATTATTTTAATTTAGTTTCTTTGCAGTTTTTTGGGGGTTTTTTGTGTGTGTGTGGTTTTTAGTTTTCTACTTATTTTGTACTTGTACAGTGTTCCTGAATTCTTCTACAGTTTTGTCAATGGTTTCCTTGATTTTGTTTGTGATTTCCTTGGTCTTTTTCTAAATCTGATTAAATGACTGAAATGTAAATCTTTTTAATTGCTTATCAGATAGCTCCAATATCATTTCTTCCTCCTAGGAATTTCTGGCCTTGTATTGTGATCATTTGTTTGGACCATCTTGTCTTGTTTCTGTGTGTGATTGGTAGTTGTCTATTGTCTCTGAGATGTCATAGTGTTATTGAACTAATTTGTTGAAGATCTCTATTTCTCCTTATCAGGTCTCCATCTTTCTCATTAATTCATTATTTTTTACAAATGCCTACTATGCGTAAAGTACAATTCAATATGCTGGAAACTGAATTGTGACTAGAAATACCTACAAACGAATTCCTGTTGACTAACTGAGCAATAATAATAATACCCATCAGTTATCTATAAAATGACCACAAATTCTCAAGTTTTTAGATGTTCCTGGCTTATATCTGTTGCCCTGGAGAAATTATTACTCTCTCTCCATGAACTCTTAAAGTGACTTTTGATGACAAATTATGTTCCTAGTCATATAATATTTGCAAGACACATGGAACTTCTAAGAATTTATATTTATTAACTCTTTTAATACAAAAATCTAAAGAACAGCTATAACTGAGGAAGCAAGAATCTTTCAGACTGGGAATCACAGAGAGATTTTAGAGGATACCTAGCCATTCCTAGGAAATCCTCTACAAGGTCATTACGTGACGTTTCAGTGTGTCTTAATCTCTGGAAGTTGTCAGCCACTGTTGGTTCTTTTTTATTCTGATACAAAGAAAATGGTGTACTGTAAGATTGCTCTGATTTATACAAATTCCCTTAATTTCTGTTTATTTGGGGATGTCCTAATTTTGCCATTGTATTTGATGGACAATTTTATTGGACGTTTAATTTTTGGTTGGCAATCTTTTACTTTCAGGGTTTTTGTATGTCATCCCAACTCCTTTTCTTTGTAGTTTCTGGTGAGAAATAAGAGATAATCTTTTTGGTTTTTCCTGAAAACTGACTAGACAGCACTTAACAGCAAGTAGAACATAGCCTTGAACTTAGAAGTTGTTACAGTTTCTGTAAAATGAAGGATTAAGTACACTTAAATCACCAAACTCGTATATAATTTATTGTTTTCTGTTGATTAAAACTTTGTTTTGATTGATTCAGAGGACAGATTTCTTAAGATCTTGAAGTAAAATAAAAGACAGTAGTCATCAATTAGTAACATCAATTTTAACTTTAATAAATCTTTAGTGTTAAAAAAGCAGTATATAATTTAGAATACATATAAAAAGTACTTTTTGCTGTTTTTAAAAAGAAATTTGTTTTAGAACTGGAGACATTTTTTAAGAACCTGTCTCATTGTGGTTATTTAGGAAGGTGGTATGATTTTACACTACATGAGATGATATAACTTAAGTTTTCCTTTCTGAATAAAAAGGCGAGGTAAAGATGCATGACTAATGAATAGGATTAGGGAGTGCAGTTGCTGCATACAATAGGCACTTGACTGAGAAGGACAATGTATGTGGTTCAAGCCTGCCAGACACCCTGTGAGAGACAGGTGAAGATTTCTTCTCCTGTGAAGATTAAAAGCCTCTGAAACCAACTCAGTGACACACAAGTACAACATGAGTAGGATTACTTGCTAACATACTTAGTTTTACATATTCTCTTATTAATATTTTACAAAGGCATTTATTGTTGTTGTGTGCCCTCAAGCCAGTTCGACTCATAGCAACCCTGTATAGTGTTTCCGAGGAGCGGTTGAGGGGGTTAAACCGCCAACTTTCTGGTTAGCAATCTAGTACTTGTCCTACAATGCCAATAAGTAAACGGAATTAGGGAAATTTTATTATGAGCAATATATCAATTTTAGAAAATTTAAATTGAATCAATAAGTATAGATACTTTAACCTATTTAATATTGACTATTTGTCAAATTTCAAGTTCTTCAAATTTATTTAAGACACTGACACATCTCTGGATAATAATTCTATGTAACCAAATACTTTTAATAATATCAAAAAATGGATCATTGCTTCTAGTTGTTATTTAGTCTAAACTCTGGTAGACCCAGCACAAAATGAAAGTGTAGAAAGAGCCTTCTTTGCAAATTCATGTGTTTATTTACATAATCCTACCTTGAAAATCTAACTCACCCCATCTAACGCCTTGAAATGCTTTTCTTCTTTTTAGAGCGAGACCTGTTTGGAGCAGAACCTTTTGACCCATTTAACTGTGGAGGAGGGGATTTCCCTCCAGATATTCAATCAAAATTAGATGAGATGCAGGTGACTATTTTAGCAGACTAGCCAATAAATGGTTAATTTCTTTTTTATTCTGATACAAAGAAAATGGTGTACTGTCATTTAAAAACTTACTTTAAGACAATAATGTGCATTTAGTCCTAAAACCGTTCCTATAGGTGTTATGAATAAAGTGTGATTGTTCTTTTAATGGAATATTTTACAATGGCTATAATTGGTTCTTTTTTTTTTTGCACAAAACTAGGTGGATTCTGAGAGTCATTATTTTGAAATTCAGAAATTAAAATGCCACTGGACAGTAGTTATAAGACTTGACCTCAATTTTTCCAATTATGAATTTCAAAACTGTAAATGGGTAGATGAAGGAAAATCTCTGTAAGAGTGAAATCATTCTTTCTCAAAAGAAGCATTGTAACTATAGTTCATAAATTCTGGGCTATTACTGAAAAACAAACAGACACCCGGTGACAACTTGCTTAGGAATGTAATCCCTTGGGACTTTCTTTCTCGCTCTCACTCTGGCTTTCACTCTTGCTCTCTCACTCTTATTTTTGAATTCTGAATTGTTCTGAAAGTGTGAGGAAATTGGTTTCAAAAGCTTTATGCAATGGATCACAATTAATAGTCTTCTAATTACTAGAGTAAAATCTTCCTTCATGCTTTATTAACCCCTTAAACTTTGGTGAAGTTATAATATCCATTTTTTTTTTTTTCATTTTAAAAAAACTTATATATGGCAACATCCAGACAAAGACCTATTATATAGAACTGATTAGGAAGATGTAGTGAAGACACTAAAGAAAGGAGAAGGAGGTGTTTCCTTTAATTGTTGTTGTTAAGTGCCATTGAGTCAGTTCTGACCCATAGGATTAATACATTCAATCTCGGTGTTTCATTGCCTAGAAGGAAGGGGGGAAATTAATGATTGAAGCTTAATACTGGTAAATACACTCTTCCCTGGATTTTAGACTGCAGCTATGAATCAGACTTATTGTCTAGATATTGGGTTATTGTGGTTGTAAGGTGCCATTAAGTCAATTTTCTACTCATAATGACCCCCTGTGGCAGAATACAATTGCCCTGTTGGTTTTCCTAGCTGTTACAGTGAGTCCGAATCAGTTTGATGGCAAAGGACAACAGTTTTTGTGGAAGCAAATCACCAGATCTTCTCCCATGGAGCCAATGAGTATATTTAACCACCAGCTTTCAATTACATTTGAGTGCATAAAAACCTGCGAGTATCTTAAGGAATCCAATATGAGAAATATTGTATTGGAGAGATTTATTGATTTGTTATGCAAATAATGTTAAGCTATGGTGATTTTTTTCCAGTTCTAATATTATCTTATTTTCTTTTTTTAATTTTATTGTTCTTTTCTGCTTTCATGGTGGGTAGCGCCAAAGATGGTTGGTATATTATTTTCATAATAATTTTTTAAACAATTTAAACTCTTTAAAAACTGAAGCCTTAATATTTTGCATGCTTTATTTAGTAAATATTTCAACAGCATTTTCATATTAATGTATTACATTATTTGTTGTGTGTAAGAAGATCATATCACCCATATTTTGAAATGATTTTTTAATGACTTTGTTGTTTGTTGTTAGGTGCTGTCAAGGTGGTTCCAACTCATAGTGATACTATATTGTCCATTTCATCACCTGTCTGTTTCTGTTTGTCCACAACTTACTTGCAAAGTCACTTTATATTTGAATCCTGAATTGTTCTGGAGATTTGAAGAAATTGGTTTCAAAAGTTTAATACAATGAGCCACAATTAATAAAGTCCTCTTTCATGTTTTATTGATCCCTTACATTTTGGTTAAAGTATATCCAAGAAGATAATATATACTAGAATTGAGGCAGAGGTCTATTATATGGAATTATACTTTTTTTTATCCAAAGTCTAGAATGACTTCTATTATGCGTTTTCCTAGCCTAATTAATCTAATGCATATATTTAGCTACCATTTTTATCTTTGCATATAATATAAAACCAATACAATATAAGTGGATCTATAAGTGATAATGCATTAATAAGCATAATAAGATATTTGCTTTTACTCTTTATTTGTACCAGATTTTTACTAAGAGAATTTAATTAAGTTCAAAATCTTAGAAATGCCACATGCACCTAATAATTTAATAAAAAATCTCAGACCATATTTCATTCAAATTGTTGAAAAGTTTAGATCTTTACTTGGCATCAACAATGTAATCATTAGATTTGACATATTTTAAACTGCCTCTGACATGTCACTGACAGACAAATCAATGGACTAGTGTTAATATCCCTGAAGTATACACATTGATTGGAGTCCTGGTGTGGTGCTGTAGGACAACTGCAAGCTCAGTTTGAATCATGAGGTCAGTGGTTCAAACTTACTAGTCATTTACCAGAAACCCTATACAGGGTCGCTATGACTCAATGGCACTTAACAACCGCATACTCATTGATATTCAACAATTTTAAAAAAGAAGCATGGCAATTCAGTGAAGGATGAATGAACATGAATTAATTTCTGTTAAGTCCACTGGATAAGGAGCTCTGGTAGCGTAGTGGTTACGAATCGAGCTGCAAACCACAAGGTCAGCAGTTCGAAACTACCGGCTGTTCCGCGGGAGAAAGATGAAGCGTTCTGCTCCCGTAAAGATTTACAGCCTCGGAAACCCTGTACAGGGTCGCTATGAGTCGGACTCCACGGCACATAATAACAACAAGAAGTCCACTGGTACAAGAAGTCCACTGGTTAACAATCACTGTACAACTTAAACTTACAGCAAATGCCCAGGTAAATGCATTGCTGTTGCTGTATGACATCAAGTTGTTTTCAAGTTGTTTCTAATTTATAGCCAGCTTGAATAGGATTTGTTGTTATTGTTGTCAAGTCGGTTCCAACACATGTTGTTGTTGTTGTTGTTATGTGCCGCGGAACAGCTGGTAGTTTCGAACTGCTGATATTGCGGTTCGCAGCCCGATTCGTAACCACTAAGCTACCAGAGCTCCTTAGGTTCCAACACACAGAGACCAGGCAAAGGGTTCTAAAGAGTCCTGGTGTGGCGCTGTGGGTTAATGTGCCAGACTGCAAAGCCGTTTGGACTGCAAGGTCGCCAGTTTAAGCTCACCAGCTGTTCCTCAGAAACCCTATCAGGGTCGCTATGGGGCGGAAACGACTAGATGGCACGTAACAACAATAGGGTTTCTGAGGAGTGGGTATGAACCGCCGACCTTGCAGTTCAAGCTGACCTTGCAGTACAGTACAGTGCTTATCCTACAGCGTTACACAGGGACTGCTGAATAAAGTTTGTTGTTTTGTGTGACGTGCCTCATGAGTCGGTTCCTACCCACAGCTACCCTGTATAGGGTTTCTGAGGAGCAGCTGGTGAATTTGAACAGCTAATCTTGCAGTTCAAACCGACTTTCTTGTCCCGTGCTTATCCTACAGTGCCACACCAGAACTCCATTTGTATACTTTGCTGTTGTTGTTAAGTGACGTCGAGTTGGCTCCCACCCATAGCAACCCTGTATAGGGTTTTCAAAGAGCGGCTGATGAGCTTGAACCACCAACGTTGCGATTCAAATCACTTTACAGTCCAGAGCATTAACCCACAACGCCACACCAGGACTCCATTTGTATACTAGGGTGCTTCAAAAGTTCATGGAAAAGTCCCATTGTCTTTCAGTTCCATTTTCCATAAACTTTTGGACACCTTGTCATGTATGTATTTCTATATATGTGTGTGTACATATATATGTGTGTGTGTATGTAATATGTTATTTGTAATATACCAAAAGATGTCATAGTACAGATCTCAGATATCCCTGTAAAATATTCTAAATGAATAATGAATTTAAAATATTTTAGATTTAAAATACTGACTTTTGTGAATATTTGGCAGTTGTTTGAAAAACGTGCACTAAATGGCAAAGTATTTATTTTAGTGACAAAAACGTAGTTTAAAAAAATTGTAAAGTAATCTAAGCTTTATCTAATAGAATACAATTTGTATTCCAAGTACCAGAAAGACATTTTGAAAAATATTTTCCACAATGTCATTGTGCTATAGACATAGAGAAGAATATTCTTGGAACATTAACAATAGATCAGATATAGCTTGCAATCTAATCTCATTATTCCTCTATACTACCTTATTCCTCTATATGATAATATTTAATTTGGATTCCTAATAAGGTAAATACACTTTGATGCCCGTTCTGAATGAAAGAATTTGGAAATATGTATAAACAGTTACACAACTGACACAAACAAGTAATTACAATCAGAATATTTAAACAAACTATACAAAGGAGAACCAATGGCAAATACATTCACTTTGAGAGATGTTTTCTTCTCGTCTGGAATAGATGGTTAGTTCATTCGTCAATAATGTGTCATATAGCTATCCCAAACAACAAATCATCTCCCTGAACAAAATTTCAGTTCAGTTGTAAAAAGAAAGGTAGGCTATATGCCATATATTGACACCAGAACAATACTTCTCTAAGGAAACATCAAATGTGGTTTCCGATTCAGTTGCACAATGTATGTCTATACTTTTTTGTCTCTTCATTGCAGGCCAGTGTGCACAGACATCAGGGTAGGTGTGGAGATGTGGGGAAGTAGTAATAAGCCAGATGACTCAGATTTCAGTATTTTATGTGCAAAAAGAGAAGAGAGCTTGACATTAAGGACAAATTCTTTGCCACTAAATTTTAATTCAGAAATTTCTGGGGATATTTCATGGCAACTCTGTACTTTCTGCCAATACAACAAAGATGACTTAACTTCCAGAAATAAATAAAAACATGATGGTGGGACGATTCAAAGGACCCAGTCCAGTAGAACCGTAGCAAGACAAGTAGTGGAAACTGCGTAGCATCTGCTCTAGCAGTTCTACTAGAAAGGGGCTGACCATCAAGATAGGGAAAAGGAAAACTGATAAAGTGATGTATTACTCTTGTGACAATAAAAGTAAAATGATCTGACTTTTATGGTGATATGTATATGTATAAATATATGTCTATATATAATATAGATACTTTTACATATATTAATATCTATTTGTTTCTGTGTTCCATATAAGGTATGTGATTACATTCACTAAAAATATTTTACTGAAATTTTGGACAGTGAAAGGAAAGATGAAATTTATCGAGAAAGCTAAGTCTAGCTATTTTCATAATATTTAAATCAGTGGTGTTCTTGAAAGCCATAAAAGAATGGCATAACATTTTGAGCTATAAAAAAATGACATGGCATGTAGCTTTCACTGAAAAAGAAGTGTTTAAGTATTAAATCTACTTATTTCCTTATCCTCTGATTTTTTTTTTGCCTCTTCTGTATGCAAATCTCACATATAGTAAGAATATTAAAATGATAATGCTCTGAATGAGCATAAAACAAAGAGTAGGCATATGCATATGTATAAAGAGTTTATAATCCAACATTTCACATATAATTCTTTTTTAGTTGATTTCAACTTCTGTTCATATCCATAAACCTTTCTTATTTAATGATGCTACTCTTTTTTACAGGAGGGGTTCAAAATGGGACTAACGCTGGAAGGCACAGTATTTTGTCTCGACCCGTTAGACAGCAAATGTTGATGTCAAGAGCAAGAGATCCTGCAACACGTTACATTTCTTTTATATGCATATATATCATTATTACTTTTTGACAAGTATTATATATGTGCCAATATATTTTTGAACATTTTAATTTTTTAAAAATTGTTTTAGTAAAACTTCTTCATGTATTCACTGTTGATTCATAATGTTTTTTATTTTAAAAACAACACATCATAAAGTAAATCATACCTTTACATCCCTTTCTTTTTCTGTTGGAAGTAATTTTATAATTGAAAAACAAATTATCAAAATATCTGTCATGTATCTGACTAAGTTCTAAAGAATTAGCACCTTTTAAATTTGTGTTCATTCTCCAGGCTACTAATATATTATTGATTTTCTAAAAGTCATACTTAATGCCACCTTTTCAGGACCAATGCCAAACTAAATTTGCTCCATTTTCAAATCAGTAATCATATGACCATTGATTAGACAGATGTCTACTAAATGTTGTTAACATCATTCAGAAAATATAAACTTTGAATATTATGTTACCAAGTTACAAATATTTAGATGATACAATAACAAGAATATCAAATCCAATGATAACTAAACCAACTATTTTGTAGCGTAGCGGTTACGAATAAGGCTGCAAACCTCAAGATCGGCAGTTCGAAATTACCAGCTATTCTGCCTAAGAAAGATGAGGCTTTCTGCTCCCATAAAGATTTACAGCCGCAGAAACCCTGCACAGGGTCACTATGAGTCAGAACCGACTCCACGGCATATAACCACCACCACCACCACCATTAATAAATATAAGGTTACATTAGTATCATAATTAGTTATAGCCTATATATTTTAATTTGCTTCATTAGTAAAGTGTGAGAAAATGAAAATTATCTATTTACAAAACATTTAAAATAAAACTTAAGTTTTAATGAGATGAGCTACATTACTACAGCTAACATATCTGCTCTGATATTTCCTTTAAAAAAAGGAAAAAGTAGATCCTGTGCTGTTTATAGTTGCAATGTCTGTTACTCATATTTACTTTACAAAATATACTTTCCTTCATGAAACAATGACTCTCCTTGAGTATGTTCTTCATTGATAAAGGTATTCCTCACCAAACTTTATTTTGTGATGCCTCATTAGTTTTGATTGGTTAAAATCTATGGCAACTATTCTTTATGGATCATCAATTTTGTTTAGCAAACTTAATATTTGCATTTGCTTTGCTGAATTCAGAATCTTATTTTTCCCAAAAATAAAGTTGCTGCTGGATTTAATCTTTATCATAAACAAAATTTTCTTGCACCTTATCACGTGATGATAAACACACTATGTAACAGATTTTGATTTGTACTCAGTGCAAAAAAAGTCAAAGTTTCTAATTTGGTTATTTATAAGAGAAATAAATTTATGAAAATGTCAGCTTATGTTAAGGATAACCCTAAAATTAGATTTTTCTTATTTCATGGACATTTTCTTCAAGTGATAAAGTTACATTTTCACTAGTAAAGAAATCAAATAGGCTTATGCAATATTATATATGTATGTATTTCCAAAATGTTTTATGGTCTTTAAAACATTTTTGTTTATTGTCATCTGATAAGAGGATAGTTTTCATTTTGCCAGTAATTCGCAATTATCTACAATAGAACAAATATACTGCTTGTATTAATTTCACTGTTAATCTATATTTAATTGATAAAGATTTTTGTATATTCTAAAGAGCTCTGGTGGTGCATTGGTTAAGTGCTTGACATTTAACCAGCTCATTAACTCTGGAGAAAGATGCAGCATTCTTCTTCCTTAGGGATTTACAACCTTGGAAACCCTATGGGGGAAGTTCTACTCTACCCAAATAAGGCTGCTGTGAACCAGATTTTGGATATGTTTCATAAAGAAGAGTCTTTATAATTTTGTTTGTCATATAGTATTTTGGAATTTGTACAATGAGGATGTTTAGAAGTCATATCAATGGCCTTTTTTTAACAGATAGAATTTGTATTTTTATTGTACTTTAAAAAACTTTATGTAATAGGTATATACTTAGTGGCCATTTATTATCAATGGTAACACAATAGAATACTAAGATGGTATGTGCACAATTAAGTTTCTTTACCAAGTTTTAATGGCAATTAATTCTGCTACTGGCATGATTTAAGAGTACAAAATCTGTCATTTATTATCAACATTTATTTCACCAGTGCATTTTTATGACTCTCTGGTTAAAAATTGTCTTTCTATGTAATCTCAATATGTTTGATTTTGCTGAAAATAAATGTTTTTAAATAAATGCAATTGCATTGTTTACTCACTGAATAATTAATTTAGGCACTCTGAAATTAATTGCATGATAAACTTCCGTGGTTGAGAAAACAGGGCCAAAAAAAGCAGCAAGGGAGAAAGAAAAAAGTGATGGCTTCACCTTTATCTTTATTTCCTACCGCCCACACACATTGTAGCTTTATAAGCAAATCTCACTCAGTTGTGAAAACAGTGGACTTGATCCTGCTGCTGAGAGAGGTCGAAATCCTGTTTCTTTCACCAGAAGCATCTGGTGCAATAACTTTTTTATGTAAATAATCTCTTTTTTTTTGTAAATGAAGGGGCCTTTTGGCCTTGTAATAATAAAAAGAATGTGTTGGATAATAGTATTAAAAAGTGGATTTTATAGTAAGTGTTGGATTGTGGCTAGTTGTGCAATCATGCAGTTTTGAATGTATTTTAAAATGCACAGGACACATATGCACAATCTTTGCTAGCTAAAGAACAAATTATCAATTCATTAAAAAAAAAATGCTACTCATTATGTGAATGATGTGGATTATTATATGGATAAGAAGACACCTAGGAAGTTTGTGAAAGACCTTGCTAAAGATGACAGAGTCAGTACCATCATTTAGCTTATTATCATAAAGGAAAAGTAAGACAAGTATAGGAATTAATAAATGAAAACTGTTATGGATTAAAATGGAGTCCTGGTGTGGCACTGTGGGTTAATGTGCTGGACTGCAAAGTTGGTTTGAGCCACAAGGTCAGCAGTTCAAGCTCACCAGCTGCTCCTCGGAAACGCTAAACAGGGTCATTATGGGTTGGAACTGACTCAGCAGCACTTAACAACAACTGCATGGATTAAAGTACAGTATGAAACTAATACAAATTCCCTGAGAACCAGACTGCAAGGTCGATTTTAACTTCAAGGTAGGTGGTTCAAACTCACTAGATGCTCCAAGGAAACCCTATACAGGAGCATTATGAGTCAGAAGTAACTCGATGGCATTTAACAACAATAACAACAATTTTGAAATATGGGTACCTTACACTGATAAAGGAACCTTGTGATGCAATTGTTAAAGCATCCAACTACTAACTGAAATGGTGGTTCAAGCCTTCCAGCTGCTCCTCAAGAAAAAGTTGTAGTTTGCTTCCATAAAGGTCACAGCCTTGAAAACCCAATGAGGCAATTGTTGCTGTTGTTCAGTGCCATTCAATCAGTTCTGACACAGAAACCCTGTATAGGATTTGCAAGGAGCTGCTGGTGGGTTTGAACTGCTGATCTTGTGGTTTACAGTTCAGTGTTGATGCTACAATATCATATCATGTCTCCATAAGGCCATTGAAACTGCCCCATAGAACTTGGTGGTGGTGGTGGTGGTGGTGGTTATGTGCTACGGAGTTAGTTGTGACTTATAGTGACCCTGCATAAATAGGGTTTCTGAGGCTGTAATCTTTACAGGAGCAGAAAAAGCCTCATCTTTCTCCCACAGAATCTGTGGTAATTTTGAACTGCTGATTTTGAGATTAAGCAAGCCGATTCATAACCACTATGCTACCAGAGCTCCTTAAGAACTCCATAGCAACTAGTTTTTGAAAGCACTGGTTAATGCCTGTTAGGAATCTTGTTGTGGCACTGTAGGATCAGCACTAGACTGCTAACCAAAAGGTGTTCAGTTCAAACCCACCAGCTGCTGCTTGGAAAATGTATACAAGGTCACTAAGAGTCTGTACCAACTCACCAGTGGTAACAATAATAGCAACAACACTATCTGTTAGGGTAGCATGGTGACTTCATAATATAAGCACTGTAATATGAACCACAACATTGGCAGTTCTAGTCCACCAGATGCTCCATGGGAAAAAGATGAGGTTTTCTGCTTCTGTAAAGATTTAGAGCCTCAGCAAACCTCTATGGGATCTCTGTGAGTCAGAACCAACTGGTAGGCAATTAGCAACAACAACAGCATCTGTTATGTCATTTCTTCAGGTTGAAGCTTATTTCGGCAGGCCAAAGTCAATAATCTTCTTTGTCTCTTGTATTTTGGACTTGATTTTTTTTTTTTTTTCTCCAAAACATTTTAGCTCACTTATAAAAGTTCATTTTCAGATAGAATTCCTGGTAGAATCCTTGCAACATTTCTAAATACTGCCTGTTTTCTTGTTTTTGTTTTCTTTTTTCCTCTCTCTTTTTTTGATGTCATTTAACATAACCATGTAAAAAAGCCGGCTGTTAATATTTTTGTGTTCCAGTGTTTCCATATATAGTTCCAAATTCAATATTTACTCATGATTTTGGACCTCTGTTAAATAACTTGAAAAATCTTGGCCTCACTTTTGACAAGTAAATCTCAGACTCCACCTAAACTACACCCTTTAGAAGCAGCTAATAGGCTCTTGTGATGGTTATGGCTGGTATTACCCTTAAGCCTTTGTGTCTCATGCAAGAATGCAGGAACTTAAGTGCCTTCTTCTTCCTAGGTAACTTGAAAGACATTCCACATAAACTTTCCACACCAGTACCCATCTCAAAAATTTGGCTCTAATCTTAATTCTATAGATATGCTCCTCATTTTGTCCTTACCGGAACTCCCTCCCCACAGAAAATTCTCTCTGAAATTCATCCAAAGTGTGGATATCACCTCCTAAAATAAATTATAGTTTTCTTTTCTCTCAGATGAATTATTATGAATATTATTGAATAGCAAAGGGCATTATCCTTCTCTGAATTCATTTCTTCCCACTCTAGTTCA